TTTATTTGTTAATAGTTTGCTCAAACCTTAAGACACTACATGTAACTTTAATGTCATCCTCTATAACCTACACAGCACATTAGGTTCAGTTCAGTTTATGTTACTGACGGATAATTACTACACAAAGTTTGTTTTTTAATGTCCACATTTAGGTGGAGTATAACATTCATCATAACGTCAGATAACCATATTTACAGTCTGTGGTTAACCGAGATGAACCTTTAGCTTCTAACATCACACAAACTCACTATTTTCAACAACAACATCTTAACAACAAACATTTTTAAACCATTGACTGTAAATAATGTAAATAATGTAAATAATGAGCTACACAGTTAGCCGACTGGTTTACAAGCTAACGCTAAACAAGCTAGGTCCGTAAATATAAACACATGAGTAAGCAGTAAATATAACACTACTATATCACTTACCGAAGAACACTGAAGCATCAACTTGTTGGATGGTCTGTTAACCGCACAGCAAGCCATGTATGTTGTCAGATATGTGTTAAACAAACTCTCCAAACGAAGTAAGAAAGAGGAGAAATCAGACGGATCAAGCTGTTAGCCTCCTGACCTGCTGACCTGACAGACAGATGCAGCGCACAGAGCTGTCAATTAAATCTGACACAACCAAATATGGGCATAGTCGTTTTCCTTAATAGAATAAAATCCGATGAGTTATAAAAAAATTCACCCCCCCCACAGTGTGAGGAGAAGGGCCCGTCAACTTCTCAGATACATCTCGTTTTTTGAACCAGGCTGTAAACATGTTGATTCCTGTGGTAAAAACGGGCTTTTTTGGCTGTGGGCTTATGGCACTTCCGGCGCTTCTGCAGCCAGCCTCAAGCGGAACCTCGAGGAACTGCAGTTTTTTGTACTTCCGCATAGGCTTCATTTTTGGAGACCGGAGGTTGCCCCTTGGCAGTAACCCATACATTAAAATAATCAATACAACAACACTACAGGTAAAAATACAAGTAGTAACCAAATGAGATATTCGAGGCAATAAGTAAACCAAAATAATATGCACACACACACACACACACCCAACAAATAATCTCACACATACACATATCTTTATACTGACAATAATAACAGTCATACATGCAGCGGTGTAAAGAGTACTAATATATTCTACTCAAGTAAAAGTACTGTTACTTTGATGAAATTTTACTTCAGTACAAGTAAAAGTACCAGCTTAAAAATGTACTCAAGTAAAAGTAAAAAGTAACTCGTTTAAAATGTACTTTAAGTAAAAGTTACTTAGTTACTTTGAGGATATTAATCTCAAAGTTTTGAGATTGAGATGTTTTAAATGTTGTTGAATCAGAGGTCATCTACACTGTTATAAAGCTGTCTCAGTACTGCTTGCCTGTTCTGCCTCTCTGTCACTTCCTTTAGCTGCATTACAACTTCACTGCATTGCTCCATCCATCCAGCAGATGTCCTCGTTTGGAGACGCTCAGCCCTGCACCATATTTACTGTCTCTTTTTCAGATAGTATTGTGGATGGGTTTTTTTTATGATACATGTAGTTAACATCATAGTTGTTTAAAAATGTAGAAGTTTTACATCTTCATCTGGTTATATTTTTTTCCTAACTTTAGCGTAGAGATCGTCTGGGCTGCCAGCAGTCTGTGTTCCACTGTTTCCTCTCCCGGACACTTTGACTTGTGCATACAGTGTCTCCTGCTGCTGTCCTCGGTCCTGTACCGAGTTAAAGGACTCTTCATGTCTCATCTTGGAGAAGTCTATCTCTCCGTAATGGATATTTTCTTGTACTTCTTCCTCTGTTTTCCTTGCTGGCTCCTCAGCAGACATCTCTTCACCTGGTTGACTCTGAAAAAAAAAATCACCATTAGACCTGTGGGTTGAACCTTCAGCAGGATGCAATAAATATTTTCAGACCCATCTCACCACTGATTAAAAAATGTAGTCATTCTCAGTTTTACTAGAAATGTGTGAAAGTGTTGTGATAACTTAATATTGTGTTTTTACTTCATCTCAACTAATGTAAAGTTTTCATATTTACAAAAATGGTTCAATAGAAATTAAAATTATAAGTCAAAAGGATCTTATCATGACATTGTCCCACATGTAAAATATATATATGATAAAAATGGCATTTTTAAAGGGCTAAAGGCGGATATCATATTCCCTTACAGTCAGAAGGCCCCTGGTTCACATCCCTATTTGGTCAGGACATAAAAGTTAACACCATGTTGACCAAACTACTAAAAGGATTCAAAGTTGACCAGGGGGGCACCGGTGGTACAGTGGTTAGTGGGTGCCCCCCATGTACGGAGGCATTAGTCCTCCAAGCAGACAGCTGCAGGGTTAAATCTGACCTGTTCCTCACTCTCTCTCTCTCTCTCTCTCTCTCTCCCTGATTTCCGACTCTATCCACTGTCCTATCTCTTGAATAAAGGCAGGACACTGGACTGGAGAAAGAAAAACATCCTGTTTAAGAGAAAAAAAGACAGGATAGGTAAAGACGAGCTGATGAGTTCAGATAAAGGTAAAGGTCATTTTATTCAAAGCATGGAAAAAGTGTGAACATGTTTTTTAATACGTTTTCTTATAATTAGTTTATAAAAAGCTTAAGCTGTATTACACCACTATCATAGTCCTGCACTGTTGTACTCTGATTCAGACTGAAACTAAATACTACAACGGTGTGCATAAAACAGATCTCTCAGTTACAGTGTAGCTGCTGTGATAACATATAATATACAGCATAGCAGCACCTTCCTGCTTCACATTGTTTGTGCTGCCTTGTTCTTAACATGTGCACTACAATCTGTGTTTAATATCAACATGGCAAGTCAAGCAACATTTCCCAAAACCCAAACAAGTGTGCATGAAATTGATCAATGCTGATGTTGTCAGGAGTTCCTCTGGTCTATGAGTCCTTCAACTGGCAGCACGGAGTCTTTGTTGGAGCAGCCATGAGGTCAGAGGCCACGGCAGCTGCTGAGCATAAAGGTACAAGCTCACACAAATCATTTAAGAGTTGTTCTTTGAAGATAGGATGGTGAGGAAGTTACTATAACTACTGCTAAAGGATGTCATGTTTCCTTCAGGAAAGGTCATTATGTATGACCCCTTTGCCATGCGTCCATTCTTCGTTACAACTTTGGTGACTACCTCGCTCACTGGTTGAGCATGGAGCGCAGGAAGGCCCCCACTCATTTACCCAAGATCTTCCATGTTAACTGGTTCAGGAAGGACCCCATCTGGCTCCTTCCTCTGGCCCGGATTTGGTGAAAATGCCCGCGTGTTGGAGTGGATCTTCAAGTGCTGCGGCAGGGAGAGTGAGGATGAAGCAGCCAAGAAGAGCATTATCGGCTGGCTGCCAGTAGATGGCGCCGTCGACACTAAAGGTCTGAGTGGCAACGTGGATATGGGTGCTCTGTTTGACGTGCCTGTTCCTTTCTGGCAGAAGGAGACAAAAGAGTTGAGAGCTTACTTCACTCAGCAGGTTGGAGCTGATCTGCCAGCTCAGGTGGAGGCTGAGCTGAAGGCTCTGGAGGACAGAGTACACAATTAAAAACCTACTAACATGAAGTCCATCCAGAAACAGGGAGGTGGTCACTGACTCAACATTTAGACCATCAGGGTGCAACCAGAGTCACTGGCTGGGTTCACATACACAGAGAAGTTAACATTTGAAGGGATTCAGTTCAGGAAAAGTGAGACAGATGTTCTTTCTCTGTGAACACAGTCAGTGATTTTAGTGAAAATAATCTACGATGCAGATCCTACACATTGACACTACTTGACATGAATGCTGCATCACTGAGGGACAGGTTTGCTTTGCAACATGAAGGTTAGATTTGTTTGTAGTTGTTAAACTTGTCATTAAGAGAAGCATATGTCTACCTCTATTCTCTCACATAACCTGGCATGGTCCTGAAGCCCAGTCAACCTGGCTCTGTAGGGCCTTTGTGACATTTAGCAATACAGTTTCTAGGCCTCTAATGTTTACAGGCTAATACCCAAAGATTTAGCAAAATTCTGACAGAGATGGATGAGTTTTTAACATTTTATTTACAAAATGATTTCAAATGAATTTTAAGCATCAGTTGTTTAAAGATGCTTTATTAAAAGTTTAACAGAACGCTCTTAATATTCACATATACACAAAATAAAAAGTCCTGTAAGTAGTCAATATATTAATTCATGTGCCCAACGAATACTATGCATAATCCATTTTGCCACTTTTGTAATGTTTGTGATTCAATTCCTTGATTTCAGGTGATGTTTACACATAAATATAAAATGTTGGACCAATAAGTGGCAACTGAGATTATTAGGTATTTTGAGGAGACAAGGTTTTTATTACAGTGCAATGAATAAATATCTTCAAAAGCAGAAGCTTTGCCTCGTGCTTATTTTTGAAGTTTTTCAAAAAATACAAATGAAAACATGGGAAACAAACAAGGTGAGAAAATGGAAATAAAGAGAAGTGATGGAGATTTAACATGCCTCGTCAAAAACCATCAAATTAAAGCATTTTACAATAAAACTAAACATATTAAATTAAAGGTTAATAAAATAAAGTAAATGTGGACTGCAACTGCTTGTAGTAAGTTTAATATAAAAAAGTCCCTAATAGACTTCTGTATGTTTTAGTTGCACATATATAGAGGCTGAATATTACACAGCAACAAGATTTCAGTCAGGACCCCTTTGTCAAGAAAATACTTCATTGTAATTATTTATATTTGGCAGTATGGCTCTGGTCTGGGATCTCCCTGCCCTTCCACATGATAACATGGAAAGCATAAGGCAGGGAGAGAAGCAGCAAAGCCAAACAGAGCAGGCATCAATGACAACAGCATGACATTGATTAAGTCTGGACAGCATTAAAGGAGGAGCTGGGGTGGAGGAGAGTTGCAAATGCGGCTTGCAGAGGGAGCAGCAAATAGTAGGCAGGTTAGAACAGTTAAAATAAGGTGTCATAAGTACTATTTGGCCAATTTTAGGATCCTTTGAAGAAATCAGCTGGCCATCAGCTGATGAGGTTTGCGTGAGATCAGCTGTTACTAAAACTCTGGCATGATAGTAGAGTGTGACTTTGTGGCCTTCCTGACCTAACGCTGTGCTCAACTAGATAAAACATGAGCTGTAATAAGTTAAAAAAAAAAGGAACAAAAAAAAGTTGTATAATGAAACTTAATGAAATGAATTTAATCCACTCATTTTTTCCTCACTTGAGCGTAGATATCTTCTGGACCGTCAGCAGGCTGTGTTCGGCTGCTTGCTGGCTTGGACACTTTGACCTGTGCATACAGTGTATCCTGCTGCTGTCCACTGTCCTGCACTGAGACAGAGAGCTGTTCAGGTCCTCGCACTGAAAAGTTGATCTCCCCGTAATGGATGGTTTCCTCTGTTTCATTTGGTGGTTGATAAGTAGCCAGTACACCATCTCCTTGACTCTGAAATCAAACAAGAAAACATCTTAAAGGCAGGTGCTATGTTGTCTCCCTAAGTGATGAAACTTCTGAGAGCCTTCCAGGGCTTGATTTCTTTTTAAAGTTTGTCTCAATAACTCATATATTTGCAATCTAAAATGATAGTCATGTATTGTAACATCTGGCAGTCACTTAGGGTAAATATTTTGTATCAACTTATCTCTATCTAACAAAGCAAACTGTTAATGCACAAATTTAAACCAAATATTCACTTTACTATTCTTTATACTGATGTTAGGTGAAAAGTTACCTTGATGAAAGAAATCAATATGTACAACAAAATAATCCAAATCTAAAAGATTAAAGGTTACTTGTGGGGTTCCTCAAGGGTGGGTTGTAAGTCCTGAATGTTTTTAATACTGTATATTAATGACATCTGTTAAGTTTCTTAACTTTTAAAATGTGTATTATTTACTGATGATCTTTACTTTTAAAATGTGTATTATTTACTGATGATCTTTACTGCTCTGGAAATATCTGCTTCTGAATACAGTGGAAAGTGCAAAATAAAGTTTAATTTTTGGCAACTGGAAACTCAAAAGTCAAGTTAAAATCCAGATCAAAGATGTTGCAATATAGAAAGGGAAAATGAAATCACATTTCATGGTGGGATCATTGACGATAAACTTTTTTTAAAGCTGCATAAAATTAAATCTAAAATGTCACATTACATTGTCATATTAAATAAAAGTGAGGATATTCTGCATCAGAGCTCATTATATGATCGACTGTGTGGAGGTATGAGGTACCACATATAAGATCAATACCTAGAGGAGAGCAAAAAACAATGTTAGTAGATGTAGCTATACTGTGAACCAACCAATGCACCATTTATACATTTATATGAGTTTATTAATTAGTAGAAACTAAAAGAGCACGGATACCGGTAATATACAAATGACAGGCTGTCTTGTTTTTTGGCTTCCTACTTGATTATTATGAAATGTTTTTGAACTTTAGTTTGTTTTATTTTCTATGAAATGTTTGAAACTTAGTTTTTTTATTGGTGTTATTTAAACGTTGAAGTTAAAGGGTTAACAAGGTATAGACAGTAAACTTAAGTTTCAGCCTACACCTCTTTGATTTGTTTTATGTATGTATGTTATTTTTAACTTGAGTATAACGTCTATGTAGATCTTTATGGAGATAAATAATCACTGATTGAATAAACTGCTACTACAACTCATATTTCCACCACCAGCTGACCTCTGACATATTGCCTGCTTAGAATAAAGACTTTAGCTTTCTCACAGCAGGACACAGTCAATGTCAACAGATATATTAAAACATAACAGAGTGTTCAGTGTTGAAGTATGAGTTAAGTATGTTCCCACCTGGTTCTGTTGGGGAGTTTGATGTTTCCTCTTTAACCACCTGAAAGACAATAGAGATCATGGTTATACTGGTGTCTGTGAATTAGAGTGTGTATAGAGACTTAATGAACTAGTCCACATGAGGAGATACTTCTGATTGGAAACTAGAAGATCAAAGTTAGGAAAAACTTTTTTTCCCTTTTGGGAGATTTATTCATCAGTATAATGCAAAGGCACTGCTCCTCTGTTGGAAAACAATGACAGCAGATGAACAGACTCATTTGTGATACTTACCAAATACAGACAGCGAGGCAGACGACTACGACAATGATCCCAAAAGCTGAACCCCAAAGAGGAGAAAGAGGAGCATCAAACAGGTTTCTCTGTTCAGTGAAAAACAAGTGGAGTTGTTGTTATTTTTATTATTATTAATATTTTATTGTTTTAGTAATAATATAAAATAATAATCATTAACATTATTTCTTAAGTTATTAATTATTAGTAATGAGGACAAAAGGTGTTTTCAGACCG